GGTGCGAGTGTGCTCATTATACCACGGTGTCAGACTGTTTTCCTTAATCTTCCTTAAGCGTAAAGGAGCAACCGTATCTAAAATGCTAAAAAAGAGAGAGTCCATAGTTTCTGTTGCATCATCAAGTTGTTCTGAGGTTTTGGATATGCTACGGAATTGAGATAAATCAGGAAGATTACTTACAAAGCAGTCTTTTGTGGTAGAAGTAATGGTTCTGCCATACTTATTTTTGCCATACAGTTTTAGCTATATGAAGTTTGCACAAGACTAGATAATGATCTGAGATATCATTGCTTGGCTGCATAATTTCAACACCATCGACATCAATTCCATGTGACAGTATTAAATCTAAAGTATGATTTCGACAATGAGTAGGTCCTGAGACGTGTTGTCTAACCCCAATAGAGTTCAGAATGTCTATGAATGCTGATCCCAATGCATCTTTTTCATTATCAACATGGATATTAAAATCACCAACAATTAAAACTTTATCTGCAGCCAGCACTAACTCGGATATAAAATCAGCACATTCTTTAATAAAGTCTGTATGGTACCCTGGTGGCCTGTATACAGTAGCCAGTACAAACATCACAGGGGATTTATCATTAACAATTGTTTCTCTGGATAATGTTATTTGAAGCACCATTACTTCAAACGAGTTATACTTGAAGCCCGCCCTCTGAGAAATACTGAAAATATTGTTATAAATTGTAGCAACGGAGTAGAATTTACAGTTTTAGCTATATGAAGTTTGCGTTAAATTGCGCTATATTAAATTTTTACGTTTAGCATTAGCCAGCACTTTTAAATTTGCGAAGATGTCAGGTGCTCTGGCTCCCAGTAAACATTGGACTATGGTGGCTGGTGTCTCTATTTTCACGTTCCGTACAATAGAATCGCCAGTAACTAGAGCACTTTGATTAGGTTTCTCAGTGGGTGCGTCACTGAGTGGGGAGAACCTGTTTAATGTTTTGATCGGAACGGAAGAGCGGTGTTTTGACCAGCGACTATGCCTCCTCATTGTCACCCAGTTGCCCTGCTGCGGAGGCATTGTAACTGGAACCAAACAATGTACAGGACTCCCTGAGCTAGTCGCATCCAAAGCCGTATCTAGAGCCCTCACATTCATACTGTCCTCAATTAAAGTTTGGATGCGTGTCTCTAATTCTGAAATCTTCTCTGTCAGCCTAACTATTTCCCTGCATTTATCGTTATTTATTCTCATGCATTTATGTGAATCCCTCGTCGCCGACAGAGAGAGCTAAACTATACATGTGGCAAGCTGTGCAAACAACAATAGCAGGAGAAGAAGCCATTACTCACCGTGATTGATCAATGAATCTGACTTACCACTGTTGTTTGATGAACTCGTGAAAAAACAGAGCGAGAGAGAAAAAGAAAACAGCAATAGACGCGAATGGAAACACGAATGACAAGCTAACCGGCTAACGAATGCTAACGTGCTGCACGCGCTGTTTTAGAATAATAGAGAACGATCAAATTAATCAGATTAGTTTGATATGTAATATCAGAAATATGGTGGGAATTAAGTTATATTTGATCACTCTAAACAACAGATAGTGATAGTAAGATAGAGATTCAACAGAAAAGCAAAGCTACATGGAGATACAATCACAAACCACTCAGCAGCACGGTACACAGGAAACAGAAACATCAACACGGCCTTTTGTTACAGTCAGGCACTTGTTTAACACTTTAATTGTGACAGTTGTAATAGATTTGGTTTAATCGTGCAGGAGCATTTTTGGCTCCTTATCTTGAGATGCCAGGGACATCTTCCTGTCTCTGCTGGGATGTTGGAGAATGAGACATGAATGCAGAAGTTTACAACGGTTCACTTCCTGTGAGGGACAGAGATACAATTATTCATCTCTCAAGTATTCTTCCTCTTCTTGTGCTCTTTCTCTCTGTGTTTATATCTCTGTCCTATTGATTACAGAAGCAGTTCCAGATGTGCATCATGAGCCTGAACTGCATTATTGATTACAGTTGCCAAGATCAAAGCTGGTTGAGAAGCATATTTCCACAATGGCCTCTGATATATTACCTATATTACCTATGAGTGCATTGCATCACACAATCCAATGCTTACTGTTTATTGGACACCTCAGTAACACACTTTTTTTTACCGATCATGTCATTTTGCTTGTTGAATATGTGGAAGTAAAGTGAGGATGGGTTTTCTTTCTCTCTGCAGGCTACATAGCTGTGGTATTGGAGAGGAAGGTTTTGCTGCTCTGGCTTCAGCTCTGAGATCAAACCCCTCACTCCTGAGAGAACTGAACCTGAGCTCTAATAAACCAGGAGATTCAGGAGTGAAGCTGCTGTCTCATGTACTGGAGGATCCACACTGTAAACTGGAGAAACTACTGTAATTTTTAAATTGTTTTTTTCATTTTAGTAAATATTTTAAAATATTCTATAAAATCCTCTGTCATTTTTGTTTTATCTTCTTTCTTTTTGTTTTTGTTTAATTTGTCTGTTTTCTTACTAATATTTAATAAGAGGCTTACATGAGAAATCACAAAATGTCACCTCTGTGCAGCGTTAAAAAGCCATTTTCATGTGAAGTCTGAGCAAAATAAAACCTAGAACCTAGACATATAAAACCCACTCTAGAAATGCAAATTTAACCATAATATAATTGGTTCACAAAGCTGCTTTTTAAGCCCTGGTGTCTGCATTGCGTTTGAATGCATGAAATACAACACAGTTGTATAGATGTCACTCCTATAGACACATAAAAATAAACACCCACACTTTCTTACTTATGACGCTTTTTTGGGATGCATCAGTCATTTTTAACTCATCCTGCATTTATGCGTTTGTTCATTTGTAATCGTGACATGTTGCTCTCTATCTCTGCAGGCTGTCTGATTGCAGTATTGGAGAGAAAGGTTTTGCTGTTCTGGCTTCAGCTCTGAGATCAAACTCCTCACACCTGAGAGAACTAAATCTGAGCTCTAATAAACCAGGAGATTCAGGAGTGAAGCTCTCTGACCTGCTAGAGGATCCACAGTGTAATCTAGAGAAACTTCAGTAAGTGATTGTTTTATTCCATTTTATTAAATATTTTAAAGGATTCTATCAAATTCTCTCTCTTGATAATTATGTATCTTCTCTCTTTTGTGTTTTGTTTAATTTGTCCATCAGTTCAGATGAAATATAGGAGACTAACAAAACACCTCTGTGTAGCTTCAGTGATGCAATAGTTGATAGGGTTGTACCATCAAGTGCTTTAAAATCTTTTTTTCTTTCTATTTTTCTTTCCATTTTTAGTCTTCAGCTGTTGATAACGACTGAAATGACGCCACATGAGTGTATATATATATATATATATATATATGTGACCCTGGACCACAAAACCAGTCAAAAGGGTCAGTTTTTTTGAAATTGAGATTTATACATCATCTGAATAAATGAGCTTTCCATTAATGTATGGTTTGTTAGGATGGGAAAATATTTGGCCGAGATACAACTCTTTGAAAATCTGGAATCTAAGGGTGCAAAAAAATCAAAATATTGAGAAAATCGCCTTTAAAGTTGTACAAATGAAGTTCTTAGCAATGCATATTACTAATCAAAAAATAAGTTTTCATATATTTATGGTAGGAAATTGACAAAATATCTTCATGAACATGATCTTTACTTAATATCCTAATGATTTTTGGCATAAAAGAAAAAAATATTATTTTGACCCATACACCAATGTATTTTTGGCTGTTGCTACAAATATACCCCAGCGACTTAAGACTGCTTTTGTGCTCCAGGGTCACATATATATATAGTACAGTATATATGTCTGATTTTATTCTCTGCAACATTTTAGTTTACTGCCTCACCTGCCATAAATCACACATCACACATGAACCTGGTGTCACTGACACTAACTACAAAAGGCAAACAGCTTTCTTCTGATGAACATGACTGACCCATACTGGACAAACATCTGAACTGACCCAGCAGGATTCAACACGAGGGCTGTCAGAGCTTAGAACACAAACACAGTAGTAGTGTGTTATTATTAGTGTTGTGGATGATAAATAATGTCATATCTGCTCAAAGATTGTATGTTAGCCACAGAAGTTACATGAATCAGCTTATCAAAAACATTTTTTGGTAAGGCTGGCTAATAATATTGTTTATGTTAAGTGTAATGTATAATGTGAGCGTAATGTATCATTTATAGAATTTTGTATTTGCGACTGTAAGATGTGTTGTGAGGATTGAGTGTATCTGTTTAATGGTATGTGGAATGTTTTTTGAATAATTGTGAACATTACATATCATCAAATTAATTACATGGTATACTAATTAACCTAATTGATGGCAAATAATTGGATATCAATATTTGCAGAGAAAAATATCCAAATCTACTTTTTAAATACAGTTTAAGGTTGTACATCACTTACTTTAGTTGTTATTGGCTAGATGCTTGGACATTTATTTGAGTTTTGTTTTTTAGCATCCATACTTTCAGTAAAGTTTAGAGTAGAAAAATACACATTTTATAATAACTTTTTGTATAATCATGGTAAGGAGAAATTATTTTGGTCAAGCTCAGGCAAATAAATGTAAGCACTTAACATCTTTAAAATGTATATAGTTCAGCATTTTAAATCAGTAGGATCATGATCTTTAGACAAAAGGCACCGAATACCAGGACTGACCTTTTACCTATACCTGTATTAAAGGGGTCATGATTGAGAAATCAATCGATATGTTGACATATAAGAATACACTGTAAGTTTCAGAACTCTAACCTTCCTTGTTAGCCTAAAATGTGAATATCTGTGATCACAGTCGTATCCAGCATTGAGGTCCCTGATGTCCAGACCTCAGTAGTTTTTCCGAGGTGTATAATAGAAGTTGTGACATAACTGCGTAACAACAACTGTACTTTCGTGCTGCAAAATATTGTACAACCTAAGATAACAGACTTTCCGAGAGGATGGTCTTAAAGTAAGTAAAAATAAATTAAGCCTGACTAGCAAAGTTTTGCCCTGACTCATCCTTCTGATATATCACTCTAAGCCCTTTTAGTGTATTTTACAGGTGCATCAAGAATTGTTTGTTTAGTTCATCAAGTAGTCATGAAATATGTCACAAAGACAAAAGACACAGAGTAGGCTGCACAATATAAAACATCTCATATTAATATTAATCAAAAGACAGTTTTATTTTTTAAAACAAACTGGTCCAAGCCTGGCTAAATCCCAATTTTGGAAACCACTTCCCTCTAACTATCATAAAAACTGTTTGTCTTTTTGCCTGATAATCCAAACCCCCTTCCAAAGGAGATCACCTCTCCCAATCCTGGCAAATAAAAGCCTCAGAGTGCCAGAGATCATCAGGCTGCTGGATTGGCAGGACCAAGGTGACCATTCTGTCATGATCCTTGAACGTCTCTCTCCCTGTGAGAATTCGTTGACTTCATGAGGTGTCACAGTGACAGCCCTCAACAAAGAGAAAGCATGGCAAGTCATGTGGCAAGTGGTTCATGCCTCCATGGAGTGCTTCACCATGACGTCAAAATGGAGAAACTTTTAATTAACTGGGAGACATCTGAAGTCAAGTTCATTGACTTCAGATACAAGGACATTCTGAAGAGGTCACCTTACAAGTCAAACTGTGGTATGTATTGCATAATTAATTGTTTCTGTGGTAATCAGTCCAGAACAATCATGTTGTGTCAATGCAAACTAACACATCAGACAAAATCTCTTTCCTCCAGGCACAGCAGCATACTCACATCCAGAGTGCCATGCCAGGGGGAAGTACTAGCAAATCTTGTGTAGTTTCTTGCTCCTTGGCTTGAGGGAGCAGTATTTGCGTCTGGTGGAACTGCTTCCCAAGGGATTTATATATATTGTCTATTCACGAGTTCACACTTACATATAATAAAACAGAGTAAAGGTTATGCGTATTTGGCGTGCTGTCCGAGGGGAGGGCTCCGAGCTCGGAATTTTGGCCCGAACCCAGAGTACCCCCCCTACGGGTTAGGACAGAAATAGTTGTAAGCGCGGAGAAGGGGTGGCGGAGGGATGCTGAAAAAACTGTCAAGGAACAGAGGTAAGTCTGCTGTGTATATATACTAAGGATGTGCATCTCATGACTCAGGCCGATACGATACGCATCTCGATGCATAGCCAACGATACGATACGATACATTAAAGATACATATGAAGCAGCTACTGATGTGATACGATTCACCCCTATTACGATGCAGTGCGATCCGATTTCGATTCAATTCGATTCAACACAATGCGATTCGATGATCACTTTTAATGCCTCAAGGCCTTTTTTCATAAAACAAGTTAACCAAATAAGCCAGGCTTATTTCAGTTATCTGACTCATTGTCAAATTATGTGGTTCCATAAAGCAAATTTAACACAGGCCTAGATCAAGCTTAGTCACTGTGGCAACTTATGCTGGGAAACTAACCTGGTCTAAAGCAGGCTAACTGTCAGGCTAAGCTAAGCTCCTCTACTGACCAACAGGAACACAATGATATTACCACTGTCTCACATACTATCATTTGACTTTTTTACAGTTTACAGCCATGCAGCCTTTCTCTCCGGTTTTATGACAGCTGTACCTTTTATAGTTTGCAGAACAGATAGCAGAACATTAGAACATTACAATCTAAAATTGCTCTTTAAAGCATTAAAATAACTAAATTGAAAGTTAAAATCACTGAATTAAAAATGAAAATAAATAATAAAGAAAATGACTATTTTAACTGCTATAAAAACCACACATTCACTCATTTGAGCTTAGTAATTAGTACTGTACTAGCTTAGATTTTGATTTACCCATTACAATAGTCCCTTTACAGTTACTGCTATCATAAAAATACACTTTATGTGTAGGTTTAAAATTCTGCAAAAGACACATTTAATGTCCAACAACAAATATTTTAGCAAAATGTATATTATACTCAGAATTATTGTGCTCCTATTCGATTGCGCTCCATCTGTTTAGCGTGCATGTGCGCAGCTGCGCTCGTTCACTCGTGTAAGCCTCACCTGCATCTCCATGACTGAGGCCGATACGATACGCATCTCGATGCATAGCCAACGATACGATACGATACATTAAAGATACATATGAAGCAGCTACTGATGTGATACGATTCACCCCTATTACGATGCAGTGCGATCCGATTTCGATTCAATTCGATTCAACACAATGCGATTCGATGATCACTTTTAATGCCTCAAGGCCTTCTACTGACCAACAGGAACACAATGATATTACCACTGTCTCACATACTATCATTTGACTTTTTTACAGTTTACAGCCATGCAGCCTTTCTCTCCGGTTTTATGACAGCTGTACCTTTTATAGTTTGCAGAACAGATAGCAGAACATTAGAACATTACAATTAATGTTTACTATTTTACTTTACTATTTAAAGCATTACAATAACTAAATTAAAAGTTAAAATCACTGAATTAAAAATGAAAATAAATAATAAAGAAAATGACTATTTTAACTGCTATAAAAACCACACATTCACTCATTTGAGCTTAGTAATTAGTACTGTACTAGCTTAGATTTTGATTTACCCATTACAATAGTCCCTTTACAGTTACTGCTATCATAAAAATACACTTTATGTGTAGGTTTAAAATTCTGCAAAAGACACATTTAATGTCCAAAAACAAATTTTTTAGCAAAATGTATATTTTACTCAGAATTATTGCGCTCCTATTCGATTGCACTCCTTCTGTTTAGTGCGCATGCGCGCAGCAGCGCTCGTTGCTCTCGCGTGCCTCACCCACTCAGCAAAATGGATGTGTTTTTGCACGAAAATCTGTGCAAATGTACTGGTGTGTGATGTTTTCTTTTATGGAGATTTTTTTTTTTTTAACCTGGCTTTTTGTTGTTTTAAACATATCTTTTCATTTCAAGACATAAGGAATATAAAGCCTTAGTGCCTAAAGGTCAGATTTTGTCAT